GGACTGGAAGTAGCAACGGAGCTGGACCTGGGGGCAACGGCAATACCAACGGTAATACCACCAACAACAACAACAACAACAACAGCAACAACAACGTGCCAAGTGCCGGTAGCTCGTCCGTTCTCGAAGGTAGTGCCGGTGGTGGTGGTGGTGGTGGTGGTGGTGGTGCCGGTGCCGGTGGAGGAGCCAGTGGTTATGGTGCTAGTACCGCAAGCTCGGCTAGCAGTGCTGGTGGAGGCAACGGTCCCGGCAGTACTGGACCTGGACCCACCGCCAACAACGCGACTACTGGGACCTCGGGTAGTAGCGGCAACGTTGCCGTGCACGCCGGTACCCTCTGTCATCCCAGCTTGGCCCAGGTCGGGGTCGGAATCGTGACTGGCTCCCTACCTTGCCCCTCCGATTTCCCCGACACCAAGGACATCGTTATCGAGGAACTCTGCCCGGTCTGTGGCGATAAGGTCTCCGGATATCACTACGGATTACTCACGTGTGAATCTTGCAAGGGTTTCTTCAAGCGCACCGTCCAAAACAAGAAAGTCTATACGTGCGTCGCCGAAAGATCCTGTCACATTGATAAAACGCAGAGGAAGCGGTGTCCCTACTGTCGCTTCCAAAAGTGTATCGAGGTCGGCATGAAGCTTGAGGGTGAGTTTCGATTTCAGGCCGTTCTTCTATTTCATTCAAGAGAGAAAGAGAGAGAAAGTTCGTTATCTATTATTTTTCTTCATTACTTTTATTAAACAAACCAATCAACCGACCAACAACCAACAACGCGTTTCATTTTTACTTTATACATATATTATACTTCATAAGTATATTGGCGATGTCAATTACTTCATATTTTTTTTGTTTTCTCTTACATCCGCGTCCGTTGGATTTTGTTAATTAAGTTTCTCGACGAACTTTCTCTTTTCTTAAATCTTTTACAATAGTTCACGCGTCGCGTTGCACGGAAAAAATGATGAGGGCGTATAGATTAGGGTCGTAATTTTATGCACGATCGAATTAACTTAGCGATGCTCTAACGAAATAAATATTAACGACAATCGTATAGAAATAATAATATTACGAAAATATCAGAAGGAGAGAATAAATAACATTGCAAATGTGGGTGGTTGTTGTGTAGTTGGAAGAGAATAATAGTGGCGCGAAAATTATTGCACAATCTTGTATGCCAGATAAAACGTGATGTGTATGCTTTGCTCGGTCAGGAAAATGTGTCGTTCGTTACTTTTCTTTATTATTTATTTGTTTAATTTTACTATTAATTTAATCGCGATGTTGTACCTATATATATATATATATATATGAGAAAAAGTCAAAAATGATTTGTATATTTTTATTTTTCTGACAATCCTTTTGGGGAATCGTAATGTTCCATCGAACGAACGTTCAATTTTCTAGCTTTCTAATTTCCGTTCCCTTACACAACGCGATTGACTGCGAATCGTTGAGGACATTTTTACGGGAACTCGCGTCGTCGTGGTCTGTGTTAAATCGTCGTTAAAAAGTCACCGTCATTTTCGTATTCTCTCTTCGACGAACTTCGATCATTTATATACAATTATAATACGATACAATATACGAAATGCGTCCTTGTTCGAACTTAACCTTATTACATACAATTAATAATGGACAATGGAATATATATATATATATTTTTATTAACAGCGTACCTACCCCGTGTTTTATCTTTCAAAAACAATCGTAACATAATTATTCTCACTTTCATTTATTTATTATTTACACATAAATCGAAATCGAAATCACGAGGGTGTATTATATATTAGATTAATAATAAACCATAAATCTGTGGTATTATATTTTGCCGGACAAATCTTTTTAACATATCGTTCTCGATACTGTATAATAATATTTGATAGTTTAACTTTAAAAGAGAAAAGTTTATATTTAAAATCTTTCTTTACGCCATTGTCCATTCATTCCTTAAGAAAAAACTTATTTTTTCTTTTTGTTTGTTTACGAGAATTGATAATTTCGATAAACCGAGCCAAAGGGGATGGGTGGGTGGGTGTCGTCTGTTCGCGTTGTATAAAATTCGTTCGTACGTATAAAATGAACAATAGGATAAAGAAAAAAAGAAAAAAAAGACAAAAAGAAAGAAAAACAATCTGGCTTGTACGCGGCCGTTATAATTGAAATATAACTAGGTCTAGGCCCCGAAGGCCCGGCGATTAAGCGAATCACGAAAGAGTTGCTGTCGTAATTGCCGCCTTTGCACGCCGTGTTTTCCACGGTGCGTTTCTACCAATGGAAATAGAATTGCCTAACGCGGAAAGTTTCCAGAATGCTTTGCTTGCGAGCGTTTACGAAAGGAAACAGTTCTAGGCTAACAGAGAATTATACGAAGAAAATTTCGTTCGGGTTGTGTCCAGGTCTCTGTTTGTGTACGTGTGTCTGTCTGTCTGTGTGTGTGTGTGTGTACGCGTGTTTATAACATTTTTTTTCCATAACATTGATAAAAAAAAAAAAAATCGACGCACGTGCTCTTTTCTCTCGATTCATCCAACGGGAATTAATCTCGTGCAGTCTTTTTTTTTGTTTTCCTCGATAGCGAGCTTTTTTTTTTTTCTTTTTAAATTAGATTATCCGTAATTTAAATGGAAATTAAAAGGAATTTAGAGAATTCGGTTTTTGTTATTTAACAAAACTATTCGCTAAGCTTACACAACAATCATCAACCCTCGTTGCAGCATCGATTTGTTGTCTTCCACATTCTTCTTACCTTTTTTTTTATTTCTTTTTCTTTTATATTCCGTCTGAAAGCTTCGAGAATCATTTTTATCGTAATGGCAAATAACAAATATTAGTAGTACACGATAACGCATCGTCAATTTATCGATCTTAACGATTTCTTAAAATCACATATCGATGCTTTTCAAAGAGAATCAGCGATAATTGTTGTTATCTTAAATAGAATATTAACAATATTTGTTACAATCGAATTCTATTGGCTTATTATTCTACCCCGATGGTGCATACGCAAATTTCGAACTGAAGAGGGATACTCGTTTTATGTTTTTCTTTTTTTTTTTTATTTTTTCCAAGCAATGATTCGTTCAAATAGGCTACTTAGAGTGAAGATAAAAAGAAAGAAAGAAGAAAAACAAAAATTCGAAAGTTCTTTGATCGATTATTCATTCAACAAAATTACATCCTCCTCCTCTTCTTCTTCTTCTTCTTCGTTTAAACAAAAAAAAAGCCCAATATCGTAGAAATATCATGAACACGCGAATAATGATCGCTTATTTCGTCGTTGACCAAGGTTCGCGCTAACTATAATATTAAATGTGTAAATTTTTATCGGCTCCAGTTTGACTACTGTCAACCAACAGCCAGACTGTTAGAATAATGGGTATAAATTAAAACGATAATACCGTTAGGAATTATTTAAATATGTAAATCAAATGATGTTACGTCGGTGAATAATTTGAAAAAAAAAAAACTAGAATAATTATTTATAGTAGTTTAAGGTTTCGATTTGGATACAAAAAAGAAAATATTCTCATTGTCTCATAGTTCTCTCTAGATTGGTAAAAAGGTTTATTAATATTTCCTTATATTTTTCAATTATTAAAAAACTGAAATCACCACCGATAATACTATTTTGTTCTTTATAATTCATAATTTTCTAATATATCTCAATTACTGATTAAACTTCGAGCTTATAATTTTTGTAATTTTCGTTAAAAATATTCATTTTCGTTTTCGTTTTCGTTTAGTTTCCTTTTTAGTATTCGATGAAGAATAATCTTGAATTAATCTGTTTCATGTTAACAAAGTTAATCTCGTAAGTTGAACTACTTGATTTAAGTAGTAACGCGTTCGTTAGTCAGACAGGAGTTAAATACATGAACTGTGTTCTACGTATAACAGTCCAAGCCCAAGAAAGAGATACTTGCGCAAGTGTCACGTCTGGAAATTCGAGGTAAAGACATTTCGTTCCAGGTTTATGCCCACGGGGCAAAAGTCTTTCTGTTCGTTACCTTTTGTTCTATCTCACTTTCTATTGGAGGAGAAACAAACGCACCACACGCCTGTAAAATTTCTTCAAGGGGAGGAAGGAAGGAATGATCCCCCTTAAACTTATAATATTATTCACAAAATCAACAACCGTATCTGTTTTCTCGATCATTTTGGAATAACAAACGTATTCGTTCGTCTTAATGTTCAGGTACCTTTTTTAAAAAAAAAAGAAAAGAAAAATAGAATAAAGGATCCTAAAATATTTTATTTTCATCGGATTTGTGTGATAGAAAAATAAAAGAATGTTTCGTCGTAACGCTTTCCAAAAGTAAATCTTTTCTAAAGAATCATAATAGGAAAAATAGGAACTAGTGTTTCATCTGTTTGCCACGTGGCTACATTCCTCGATATTCTATTAGGATATCTCTCTTTCTCTCTCTGTCTTGTTTGAGTATTTATTGATCCGAATTCTATCTAACGTTAAGAAAAGAAATAAAGAAAGAAAACAATAAAGTAGAAGAAGAAGAAGATACAACAATGGTTGTGTCTCTAAAGTATTGTAAGAGGGACAACAACATAACGTGCAAAACGGCTTTCAGACGTGTCTCCATTTAGGGACTCACGAATTTCATAATTGTCGTGTCGTGTTGAAAGACGTGGTGTTATACCTGCTCGCTTGCTGCCAGTGTGCTGCCAGCCAGCTTGCCAGCCAGCTTGCTTGCTTGTTTGCTTGCTTGCTTGCTAGCTAGCTAGCTTGGTTGGTTGGTTGGTTGGTTGGTTGGTTGGTTGGTTGCCTGTTCAACTCCTACCTTCTCGTTGAGTTCCGGAGAGGTGAGGGAGAAAGGTTGAGGCGGCGAGCTGCGCACACAGCACACAGATTGTGTAATATTTCTCGTTGAGTGAAGCCTCCTCAGCAGTCTTCTTTACATCCAGCCTTTTATATTTCTCTTTCGGGTTTCTTTACTTTTTCTCTCATTCTCGAGAAAGAAAAAGTGTACAATGACGGGGGACAACTCTTTTTTCCTTGCCTTGCCTTGCCTTGCCTTGCCTTGTCTTGCCTTGCCTTGTTTTGCCTTGTATTGGCCACACAAACCCACCCTGAATTTCCTTACATCTATATTTAATTAAATATAATTTCATATTAAATCAATTCTCTTTCCACGCTTTTTCTATCGACTTATCTCAATCGTATTACTTTGTTGATCACGCGACACGACTTGTCATTTTCTTCATCGGACATTTGCCATTTAGATGACCAGTCGTGGAAATGATCCTTTCGGTTTCTCGCTTGCCTGCTTCTTCTTATTTTTATTCTTCTTAGACAAAACTGAAAAAAAAAACAGACAATCAATTTTTATTCGATTAAAAGATATTCCATCAAATGTATTTTACTCTCTCACTTTCTTTTGGACTTCTTAAATTTCTACGAATAATTTCACCACTTTCATCTTAAACGACACTATTATTTGCCTTATTTCTTGACTTTTGATTTCTTTTCGTAAGGTTCTTTCGCAACCTCTATTCGATGACTTCATTCTAACGGTCGTTTTCTCTTCTCAAAGGGATAGAAAAAAAATTCTTCAGCGTGCGATTGGCTGACCCACGGGCTAACGATCCTCACGTGACCCGGCCCTTAATTTCTACGAGAAAGATATAGTCATTCTTTATGAATTTGCGAGATCCGAAATATTCGTCGAGTGGTAGATTTTTTCTTTCCCTTTTTTTTTCCATTTTTTATTTGCCATATTAATCTCTATCTAATTTTATTTGTTCTCTTGTTTCGTAAGATCCAAACAATCATATTTGTCGTATCTCGTTAAATCGAAATAATCTCTATTATAATCTCATTTTTATTAAGCGATCGGATTATAAAAGAGATTTCATTTAATGTGGAAATGTAGGTAATTTTTAAAACAACCGCGTTGCGTTTCTATTCAAAATTCATTTAGTTTTTTCGAACAAGTATTTTATCGCGAGAGAAGAAAAGAAGCGCGAGATCCGCTATGGACTGATAATCAAACTTTTCCGGTTAACGTACACTCCCATGAATTACGTAATATTTCCGTGTGCACAAATCGGAGAGAATCAAATGTGTGTGTTGGAACGAAACAATCTGATCTCTCTCGCTCTCACTATCTTTCTTTCTTTCTTTCTCTCACTCTCACTCTCTCTCGTATTCGTGTTAAATAAATATTTTGTTTTAAATATTATGAAAAAGAAAAAAACAAGTAAAGACACCTATTATCGATAATACGAGAGAGAACAAAAAAAATAATTATTGTTCGATCGTAAAATCCTTATCGAAATTCACGAATTTGCCTTTATTCTTTCACATTTCATTATTTCTTTTTTTCTTTTTCTTTTTTTTTTTATTATTTCGTGTGTGCACAGTTGGCAAGCAAACGGGCACATATCAAAGATGATAAATTCCTACGTATTCTTGTTACCGATAATAAAATCGCTTTTCGAAGGTCTCCATTAAAAAGAAATAAGGAAAAGAAATCAATAGGAACATTCGAACCGAACTTAACCGAACTGAACTGAATTACTGAATATTGTTTAATACGCGAACCCCATCATATACAAAAACGCGCGACCATTACGAACATCAAACACTAGAGAACATATAGAAATAATATATGTAAAAACGGTGAAATAATATTCGATAAAAACAAAAGGCAATAATTATTCGAATTATTAGTACTTATTCCTTCTATAATGCTAGAGACCTTATCGAGTTTGCGATGAGTAATAACGTAGTTTCGAAACTATAATTAAACTCGAAAGTATGACAACCTAAAAAGAAAAACGCGAACGAAATAAAAATTCTTTTTTAAAAATAAATAAATACAATACAATACAATACAATACAATATAAATATATGAGTGAAATATTATATTGAAGTGAAAGTATTTCGGTCGGATAAAATATCGATCGAATAATAATTTTAGATTCGATCGTACGTGTCGCGTATACACAGGTTTGAAATACAAATGGGGATATATATGTAAATGTATGCGATATAAAGGGCATAGGTGCATCGGAAAGTAAACGTGCGAAGTCAAAGAAAAAAAAACAAAAAAAAAGAAAAAAAGGGAAGAAGAAGAAGAAGAAATGAATGAGGAGGGTAGAGAGGAGAGAGGTGGGAGAAGGAAAGGAAGAAAGAGGAGGGGTAGGGGACAGGGAGGAGGGGCAGGGGACAGGGGGGGAGATGTCAAGTTTAGACGCGAACCTTGACGCTGCTGGGCCATGCCTTTGGTCTGGTATGCGTAACGCGACCAACGCCGCCGAGGGCTTAGGAAAGGAGAGTAAGAGTGAATAGTGAGAAAGAGAGAGAGAGAGAGAAAGAAATAAATAAAGAGTGAATGAGAGAGCGCGAGAGACCGCGTGCGGGCCCCCCACACCCCACCGCACCCCGTTGGCGGTGTCGATCGCGGCCCCGGGGGCTGCTGCTGAGAACACTGAGCTAGGGGCGACGTCGAGGAAAGGAGGGCCGAGAGGGGGTGGGTGGTGGTGATGGTGGCGGTGGGCAGAGGGAGGGCGGGGAAAGAAGAAGGAGCAACACACAGAAGTGGTTGGACGGCGGGTTAGCGGTGCGATTCAACCTCCTTTCACTTTCGAGGATCGCGCGAATATACGTCGATCGCACCTCTATATGCTTTGTGTGTGTGTGTGTGTGTGTGTGAGCGAGTCTACCTATGTATAATATAAGCGTGCGTTCGCGACTATGACTACGACTACGACTACGACGACTACCGACGACGACACACAACATAGAGCAAAGCAAACGCGTCGTACGAAAATAGGCAACGCTGCCGGTTTTGCCGCGTGTTCGCCCTACAAAACGCGAGTTGAAGGAGAAGGAGGAGGAGATGGAGGAGATGGAGAAGGAGGAGGAGGAGAGGAGGTGAAAGAGGTGGTGACGACAACGACGATGACGTCGACGTCGACGGGGTCAGAGGTCGGCAAAGTGTTGCGTATAATAATTAATTTGATTAAATCGTTTCCATTTGATGGTTTTATCGATGTTACAGCTGTGCGGGAGGACCGCATGAGAGGTGGTAGAAACAAATTCGGGCCCATGTACAAAAGAGACAGAGCGCGGAAACTCCAAATGATAAGGCAACGGCAATTGGCGCTGCAAACGATATGCGGGAGTCTCGGGGATCCATCGAATTACCCGTCCACCGTAACGCCTTTCCTGCACATCAAGCAGGAGATCCAAATACCTCAGGTCTCGAGTCTAACATCCTCGCCGGATTCGAGTCCGTCACCTGCGGCGGCCGCGGTAGCCGCTGCTGCTGGTAGCCTCCTGACGACGCAATCTGCCGGTGCCGGTGGTGGAGCCGGAGCCTGTGGTGCTGGGGGCGGGGCCAGTGGGGGTGGCGGCGGAGGAGCTGGACAACATCAACTGATAGCCCCTTCCTCCCAGCATAATCTCATCGCCGCTAATCACCTGCACAACGTTACCCCTGGCCTCGATAGCAAACTCTGGCCCGCTAATTCGACCACCCCCAGTCCGGTGGCCTTCAACTTTGGCGAACAGTCGGCGCAACCCCACGGGCCGCCCCCGGCCTCCGCGGCTGCTACCGCGCCCTTGAAAACTAGTCCGCTGATAAGAGACTTCGTGCAGACGGTCGACGACCGCGAGTGGCAAACGTCCCTCTATGAGCTATTGCAGAAGCAAACGTACAATCAGTGTGAAGTGGACTTGTTCGAACTAATGTGCAAAGTGCTCGACCAGAATCTTTTCTCCCAGGTCGATTGGGCCAGGAACTCTGTATTCTTCAAGGATCTCAAGGTGAGTTAACTCTTCCTCCTCGTAACGCTAACCTCCTTACATCCCCACCCTCCTTCCTCCTCCTCCTCCTCCTCCTTCTACTCCTGCCATTTCCTTTCCCTTTCTCTCTCTTAATCTATTTACAATAAACTCTGGCCAGTCAATCTTTTCAAATTTTTGTCAATACTTTTCAAACGTTTGTACGACGACGTAGAGTCTCTTGGAGGAAAAGTCGTCGGTCCGTTCTTATACCGATAAATAACTCGTCGTTGCTGGCCCGCTCGACTCTACGAGCGGCGGGGATGTGAGGTAACCAACGGCATTGCACAATCACTGAATGATTTCAAGCATCGCCTCATATCTAGGTCATAACGAGATACGTTTCTGGGTTATGGCGGTTGCCCCAAAGCAGCAGGCCCATGTTAATTATATAGGATTGCGTATTACGTCGTCATCGAGATCCCAATATGCACCTATTTTTCATACCGATTTCGCTTTCCATTTTTTTTCTTTTTTTTTTTTACTTGTCATTGTTATTCTTTATTTTTTTATTCTTTTTCATTATGTATTCTCTCGATACTCTTCTTTCGCTTGTAATACGAAACGCGATAAATTCTACGTCCTACGTAATACTCTACGTGATACTTTCTTTCTCTTTCTCTCTATGTGTTTTTCGCGAGATAAGAAAAGCAATTATAGCATTCATCGATAGATACATTTTTTTCACAGTTACCACCATTCCAATGTGTATTATATATCGTTGTTACTGTCACTCTACGTAAGCAAACTTGCATCGAGTTCCATTCAAATTTCATAACAAGTACCTACATATTTTATTTATTATTTCGAGATTTTTTTTTCATTGAAATTTGCACACGTTGTTTATATTTACGAATGAAACGTTGTAAATATTTCCTTTTTTTTTGTTTTGTCAAATTCACGAACCATTACAAATCGTAACTTGCAACCATATTATCGTGAAATAATAGTATAAAAGTATATCGCAAATGTATCGATGTGCTGGTTTATTCAAATTCACATTTAGTTATCGTTCCTATTGTCTATACTTGTAATAACTCCTTTACATTCGCATTAAAACGATAAAAATGGACAAAAAATTATTTTAACAGGTCGACGACCAAATGAAACTACTGCAACACTCCTGGTCGGATATGTTGGTGCTCGATCATGTACATCAGAGGTTGCACAATAATCTACCCGATGAGACCACGCTTCATAATGGCCAAAAGTTTGATCTCCTGTGCCTAGGCCTACTTGGAGTTCCTTCCCTGGCAGATCTTTTCAACGATTTATCCTCGAAACTTCAGGAGCTCAAATTTGACCTGTCTGATTACATTTGCATGAAATTTCTTATGTTGCTTAATCACGGTAAGATATTAATCTAAACTATCCTTTGTTTGTTCTTCTATCTTCTATTTCTATAATTGCAATAATCAGTATGAGAAAAAGTACAATTTGATTTTTATAAAAATCTATGTTAAAACATGTACAAATGTATTATTTGTAATATGATCGACTAAGAAAAACAGATCGATTAGTCAATTATTTTCGATATATGCAGATGTTCGCGGACTGGTTAACAAAAAACACGTACAGGAAGGTCACGAACAGGTTCAGCAGGCTCTATTGGACTATACCTTAACTTGTTATCCAACTATACCGGTACGTTCTTTGATGAAACATTTATATTCATTTGTAATCGATCGTAAATATATTTTTTCTTCTATCGATTCATTGATTTATTCTAATTGTCGATTATACATATCTCTCTTTTGTTATCTCTGTATATACAGGACAAGTTTAATAAGCTGCTAGCAGTATTACCAGAAATTCACGTAGTAGCGAGTAGGGGAGAAGACCATCTTTACCAGAAGCATTGTAATGGTGGTGCTCCAACTCAAACACTTCTAATGGAGATGCTTCATGCCAAGAGGAAATGAGACGATAGATTCATGTGCCGACTCTACCGTAAAATAATAATTCGTTGGTATGTACTATATTTTTAAAACGTTGGTAGAGTCCCCGCTACGATATAAATTGTCAGAATAAACGAATGAATAAACAAACAAACCAACTAACACTAAATAAAAGTGGACCTCAAAGTGTACCTACTATTATGAGCTAACTTCGGCTTAGGTGTCGGACCAAGTTAGGGTAGCCGTGGTTCATCAAAAAAATTAAAATACCTATGCAAACAAATCAAGTATAAACGTACATACTTTACATATAAATATATATACATAGAGTATATGTATTATAAAGTGTATCTAAATATATATAAACATAATGACATATATTTTCTATATTTGATGTTGAAGTTTTAGAGATGTATCCATGGAAAAAACACATTTACCCCTGTTGGTGGTACAAGCGCAGGGAAACAGTAAGCAAGATGCCTTGAAAACAGTACAAAAGGGTGGTTAACAAAAATATTGGTCAAAGGACAGGCAACTTTGTCAAAATATAAGTAAAAGCTATTTTTCTAATACTTAGATGCGATTATTTTTAAGCATACCACTGAAGCCTTGCTCACACTTGAACGAATAAATAATTCTAATGGTAATAACAACAACAACAACAACAACAACTAATAAAGATCAGATCTCTTTTTCCCTTTTTCTCTCTCTCTCTCTCTCTCATTCTCTTTCTTTCTTTTTCTCTCTAAGTTGATCGTGCCTCTTTGCAAGGAATTTCAATATAAGAATAAACATAATTGAAGTGATAGTCGAATCACGTATATGATTCTATGTACGTTTACGGCAATAATACATACAAGCCGAGAGAAATAGAAAAAGATATTGGGACAGGGGGATGGAAAGGGGGAACGGGAGGAGGGATAGAACGAGAGGGTGGATGTGAGTGAATAAGTGGATCTCTGTGTGTTAATGTGTGTGTCTGTGAAAAAAAAAAAGAAAATTAAATAAAAACAAATAAGAAAAATAGAAAGAGAGCAAGCGAACGAAAGAGAGAGTGCTTATATGACGCTCGTTACAAGCACGGTTATATATCTGGACATCGTTTAAAACTTCCTACAAAAATCTGCATTTTTCACACTTGCACATAGCAGGGCTATTGTACTGTAAATACTAGTTAACACATTCCAATTATGTTGTAAAGTATAAGTCATGTTAAATATGTAATTATAATAATAATATTTTCTGTATAGTTTAATGAAATAAAAAATATATTTCTGTTGCTTACTGAAAAGAAAAATAATAATAAAAAATAAAAAATAAAAAAAACCGAAATAAACAAATAAATCATTAGCTACTTAAAATATCTTCACGTTTAATTTAATTTCTTTTTTTTTTTTTTTTCTTTTTGATATTAAGTTTTAGTCGTTTATCTATTATCTCTCTCTTTTAATTATTTTTTTCAAACAACACAGGTGGAGGAAGAGAATAACCACAAAGAATGAGATATTTTATTATTGTATGTTATAACGCAATAAAGACTTTTTTGTTTAGATAACAAAAGAAGCAAAATGCATTGCAAAAAAAAAGAAAATAAATAAATAGTTAATAAAATTTATCGGAGCAAGGTTTATGTGGTCCTATACATTGATTAGCTATTATTATTATTATTATTATTATTATTATTATTATTATTATTATTATTATTATTATTATTATTATTATTACTAAAGACACGGGCGCACACGTTAAAAAACGCGTGCACGCGTATATATAATAGAAATAGAAATGCATATAAACGCGTCGTGTATTATGATCTGCACATACGCGCGTATATGCATGCAAGTACGAGTACGTGAAAATTTAACAAACAAACAATAAATAAATATAAATATATATATATATATATATATATATATATATATTGATATTAATTTAATATATAAAATAAACAACACATCCAAACACAGCAGACACACATAGACACAACAAAGGATACACACACACACATCCACATTGTCTCTTATCACAGTTGTTAAATAGATAAATATTTAATCTAATATTATAAGATAACGAATCGAAGGTAGTAGTTTTTCATTAAGATTATTATTCTTTAGTCAATAGTAAGGAATTTTTCAGTGCTGTGAAGGTTGTCTTTTGACGCCTGTGGTACCCAAGCCGTCGTATATATGAATGATATGCGTGCTAAATTTCAAGTTCGGATGTGGCATTGTGAACAATTATCCTTGCTCGTAATTAGCTGGCTAGTTAGTTAACTAGCTAGCTAACTGGCTAGCTAGATATCGATAGGGATCGCTTCCTGAAACTCCCCTTTGATCACGTATCAAACAAGTACCTGGGAAATAAATACTATTTTAATACTTCCAATTTTCCACCAACGACGATCGCAATACGTGTAGCTAATAATTCCTTTGAACGTTTTAATGAACGTTTTTTGATGTGACCTTAGATATTAAAAGTCGTATGTTGCATTATAAAGAAGAAAAAAGTAAATAAGAAAGAAAAGAAGAAGAAGAAGAAGAAAAAATGAAAAGAGGAGTAACAGGCAGCCGAAATTAATTTTTTGGGTACCCGAAAAGATTATTAGGTACTCGTGATTTCTACGAGTAAAGATGATTTATGTTCACAGCTGCGTTTGGCTTTAAATCAATATAAAAGTATGCTAATGTGTTCTCAAATTTTTCAATCCGTCTAGTTCAAATTGTACTATCTGATCAGATACAATCGAAAAATCAACGTTTACACATACACACACATTATAATATATATACATATGTGTATATATACATATATTTATATACATATGTATACATGTATATATATTCACATATAAGTGTATATATATATATATATGTATATACAACAAATATGTATAGATAAGATATATGTATATATATCTTTCTTCTTCGATCCCTTCGAAAGCACAGTTTTATTTCACTCAAACAGGAATGACTACCTCTTCTCATAACTGTATTAAGTTTTTATACTTTTACATTTTTAGTAACCGCATACCTCAGTATACACACTCTGACAGCAATCCGCAAACAATAAAAAGGATGTTGTTTTTCATAGAAAGGTACTTTTAGTTGCACTAATTCATATTATGCATTAAAGCATATACCACCACAATGTAAAAAGTTCCATTGAGAAAAATATTGTATTTGTTGTATGTCCATGTCGCTATGCTTTAGTTATAAATATACATGTTACTAATTAAATTATACTTGCGCTCTGTATATTGTACCAAAATAGAAGTCTAGTAAATAATGTCAAAGGTTAATTATACACGCATGGTTCCGCGTTGCTGTTTGGGTAAGGCAAGTTAAAAACGTGTGTCATATTTATATTATAACTTTTTTTCATTTACTTTCGGTAAACTGTGCTGATCGCTATCCTGGTCTTACTAAATAATCATCAATATTATTTTAATTGTCCCAAATTATTATATCTCTCATTTCGAATATCTTAGTTTTTAATTGACTGCTTTTTGTCTATGTTCAAAGCTAAAACAACAAAAAAATCCAAAATCGTTTCATTCATTATTTTACATAACTTTTAATAACAATTATTATTAAATAAAACGTTGCATATAGAAATTCAGCTCAATATATACCTCTCTTTTGTTTCTCTCTCTCTCTCTCTTTCTCTTTCTCTCTCTGTCTGTCTGTCTCTCTCTCTCTCTCTCTCTCTCTCTCTCTCTCTCTCTCTCTCTCTTTGCAAAATGTTAACTAGACAAAATATGATATATAATTTAATATAAATGTGATTCCCCCCTTTATCGCGCGGATATATAAATATATATATATATGCATATATATATCACGGAAATTTATTTTAACACGAAAGGGAAAATTCATACGTTGTTAACACTGCCATTAGAAGCTGGCAATTGTAAATTATGTAGAAAAGATTCAATAATTGTAAATATATCTTTATTATTAACAAATTATTATTTCTTCTCAGAATCTCTTAAATAATGTCATATTATTCTTCGTTGCATTCATTAAATACCCATCATGCATGACAATATGATTCCTTCATATCCTTTGTTTAAACAAATAAAAACAATAACTATTATCTAAAAACATATCGAACAAACAAAATTAATGACAACCAACATCTTTAAAAATAAATTAAAATGATATTTAACACGATATTCGTATTTGCAAAATATTTCATTATGTCGATGTATTTGTGTACGCTAAAGTATTTTAACTGTAATTTATAATTTACAATTGCACCAATTAATTAAAGATCTACACTTCGTGCTTATTCCTTCCACGCTAAAATATTATTATATTGTCATGATATGAAAACAAAATAAATGCAGTTACGTTGTAAGAACACAATTTTAGGATATGCAATCCTATTTTATTAAAAAGGAAAACAACTTCGCTAATAACTATAGATTAAGAATTACAGATAAATGATATTTAAAAAATTTAAAGTTCTTAATTAAAAACAAGAAAAAAAGAAAAGAAAGAAAAAAAAGAATCTGCTGCTATTTGATAAAATATTCGCAATCAAACTGACTTCATTTTCTGTGATTCACTTTAGATTTTGTCAAGGATATGCCCATATTTATAAAAGCAATCAATTATTTTTGATATTCATCTATGTCAAAATCATTTGTGTCCATTGTATTTTTATGCCTCGAGAATAAATAAATAAAAGAAATAAAACAGAAGAAAAAACGATATCTGCTTTGAATGAAAAACAGATTGTGTTTGAAATGCTTTTATAATATAGATATGTACAATTGAGAATAACTTTTTTTATCATACGATGAGATATGAAAATATGCGTTTTAAGGATTTTCACGATTCCCATTTTCGTGGGCGCCAGACTTCAAAAATAGTTCGTAAGCTTTTTCATCCATAAGCATCTTGATTTCCTCTGGATAACTTAACTGTACTTTGTATAACCATCCTTCATTGTAACAAGAAGAATTAATCAATCCTGGTTTACTTTCCAGCGCATTATTTTTTTCTACTACGGTTCCGCTTACAGGACTTACTAATACGGACGCAGCTTTAACGGATTCCAAAGCACCGCATTCCTCTGAGGATGGCCGATAGTTGTTACAAATATTAAATGATATATGAATTAATGTATATGTGTTTCATGTAAATATCAAACCTTCTTTTTTAAAGACAGACCCAACATCTGGAAGTTGAGCATAGACTACATCACCGAGTGCATCTTGTGCATGATCAGATATCCCAACCGTTCCTACATTATTATCTATTTTGATCCATTCGTGTGTATCCGTATACCATCTTTCTAAATAGGATTAAGAAATAAGAAGAAAATCTTTGTGTAAGTACAAGTCAGATCAAAAAGACTCTAATGAGACTTGCTGCTAATTATATATAATAAAAATAATTAGAAAAATAGAAATAATTTATAAAATTGATAGTATGAAGGTCTATCATTATCTTTTCACGACATCATTAATGTTTATTAATATTTTTTAAATGAACATGTTTGTTTCATATACGTATATCATTGATTAATAATATCAACAAAAATTATAAAATTCTTGTGTAATAATTGTAATCATTATTTCATTTTAACTTACCCGATTTTAATTGTTGTGTCGTAGATAAATAACGCGAAGTTGACAGAAATGAATTTGGTAATAATTGAGTCCTGTGTGAAAGCACTTGTTCAAAAGAATGCTTAATTATACGTGTAAACAATCTTGCCATTTTTTCTTTCTATCTATCTATCTCACTCTCAGTCTTTTAATACGAAAGAAATTGTCGACGACTTAACCTTACTTTCCTTCGCGTCGTCTGCTTCGTCCCTGCCGAAATGCTCCGAATGGTGTCGTATTAGTTCGTTGATTATGAACGAAATACGCGCGTTCGAGCAAATGCAAGAATATTTCAATGATCTTAAGAATATTTCTTAACCATTTCTGGTGTCATCATCTAACTGTTATCTTGAAAAAAATTATAATGGAAACTTTTATGTTACATGATAGGATGTCATCATCAATAATTCGATACAACAAATAAAATATTTTGATCTCCTATCCTTTGCTTGTGTCGTTAAAGAATATCATTAATATGCTTATTTATTTATTTGTAAACAATTCGTTTCAATTAAAAAAATGTTTAATCTAATTAATTTTTTTCAAGCAGTATTTTTTTGGTAATCCAAGAGAATATGAAAACTCAATATATAAAAATATTATTTCAATAATATGAAAAAATGTAACTTCTATCCTTCCTTCTATCAAAGGAAAATATTTCTAATGCAATGACGAAATAACTACGATCAACCACAAGTCAAAGAATATGTTACAATCACGTGAGGTTAAAAGATCAAGAGAAATATTCTTAAGAGATAATTTTAGATTTTTTATTAACCAAGTTGAACGATATCGGCGACCTTTTATGAATTCAATGTAGATAATATAACAGTAATAATAATATATATAATCAACTTTATGATAATTATATATATCTTACGAATATCATTTTTTTTTAATATATATATAATGCTTTGAAATTCGATATTAAAATAATTATATTTATTTATCGTTTTGATAATACTAGAACAAAGGTAAAGCGCATTGTCAAATATATATATATGTATACGTTATAAACCAATAGTATAAGATCGTCCATTTGGATTATGAATAGATCCTACGATTGGTTCACTAACACACCATTCGTACCAAACATTTTTGTTATTGCATCTGCGCCAAAAATGCAATACTATTTTTTTCCCCTTTTCCAACCGAATTGGTTCCTAACATATAATAATAATAATAAAATGTACATTCTTATAATTATTAAACATACAAATATATAAAAAATTATCAAACTTGAGCGTTAAATTAATAATAAATATATTAAGATTTGTAATCCAACTCACCTTAATAGGAAAGAAAATAGGAAACCAACTAAACATTTCAGGACTATGTGTACTAGGTTCTATACTTAAATTAATATCATTGTATAAAATTGCTTCAAAATAACCAGAAAATCCATGAAGTATGCAATTCTGTTCCACGTCAAAAGTCCTTATCCCGTATCTATTATTATCTATAATTTTATCTATTAACAGAAATATACTCGTTATTTATATTATTATTACTATTATTATTAGTACATATTTATTAAAAATGTTTCTATATTAATTTTTTAACATTGCTTACCTTTATTTGGATGACAAAACGTAAATAAAGGTTGTGGCTTTGCTATGTCATACTTATTCTGTAAATGAACTACATAAGGCGTCTCAAAATTTACAAGAGGATGCTTGTCCTTATCTTTACATTGTCGCACTTCATTATATAATTTAGAAGATTGTACAGGACCAATAAACGAAGTATATGAACACGGAATACTGATACCATCATCTGAAAATAACTTCAAATATGAAATATGATATTACATCAATAAACATTTATTTTCAGAAATAAATCTCATTGTATTAAATATTAATATACCTTTTAAGAATCGTTGAACACCGTCCAAGCATTCAGGAGAGAGTTCGTTATCTCCAAAAGATCCAAGCAATTCAGATACAAGAATATCTGCTTGTTCTGGAGCAGTCCACTCTCTCATGTCACTCGATACTATTGTTACTATGTCTCCCCACAACTCTCCTTGAAGAGCTAGTAGACTTTAAAAACACAAGAAAATATAAATAATATATTTTACATACTTTTCTTTAAATTATAATATATATTCATATATCAGATATATATCTTACGTGATGACAGCATTTGGGTTTTTCTCAACTGCATATATTTTAATTTCTTGTTTTGTCAACTCAGCAGCATTCAATGCAGCACGCACAAGTGGACCTCTTCCAGCTCCCACAATCATAATTACCCTGTAACATAAACATGCATTTATTAATCAAGAGTTCATAAACGTTGTTATCAAAATTAAATAATACTTACATTTTATCAAGTTTAGTTTTTCTTTTATAATTTATATCTTTTATCGCTTGAACTATAGCCGATTGATATTGGGCATACTTAATAGGATCTTTTTCAAATATTTCATATGTCTGAGACTCAAGATTATCCATCAATGGTTGTAGTGGGCATTGTAAATAATCTTCATAACCACGTGCGAATCGTTCGACTGGCCCATCTATTTGACAATTCTATATCAAATTTATATTATTAGAGTGCGATATATATATATTTTAATCATTCTATTTATTTAAAAGTTTCTGTAACTTTACCTTCCATAAATAGTCCAAGTAATTGTGATAAAGCGTTATACTACTATATCGGTTTGCTCCAGTTAATATGAATTGTGTTTCCAGTATAGCGAATTTCTTGATTAACATTTGATGTGCTTTGCTCAACACTGGATATCCTTTCTTATTTGTCATAAATAAAGTCGTTGGTAGTATCAAACATCTCACTGGTTCCCCAAGCCATCTATCTATCTGATATATTTTATATTAATTTGTCAATAATATATTTTCAATAAACTGAGTACTATAGTACTGTAATTATAATTGATCTTCTTTTTTTTTTAAATCTATACAAGAAAAGAGAAATAATAAATTAATTAGTTACCTCTTCTGGTTCAGGAAGATCGTGACTTATAATTAAAGCAACTGCTAATTTCTTTTCATAATCGCAAACTGCTCTGAAACTGTTCCACCATTCCCAAGGATTATCAACGGTAACATCTTCCTCTCCTCTGTACGAAAGTGCTTGTTTCAATGGGTTTTCCATAGGAACTTGTACCCATATCTAAATTCATTAATACAATAAAAAATAACAATTATATCCAATTTTTTTTTATTCATATAAGAGATAAAATAAAAGAAATGATATATCGAAAAGACTTACTTGATAATTACAAGTAGCTAATAACTTATTGTTTATAATTCTGGCAAGATTAATATTTTTTTCTATGCCGCCTATTAATTTAAACATAATTCCTGCCAATCCTAAATGAGTAGCCAATGTTAATTCCTGGTTTAAAGATTCTTCACTATTTTTCCTATAAGTACTATCTATAGCATCGACTTTTATATGCGAAGATATTTTTCCAATAATTAAATTATTCCAATCTATAAAATAATTATTGTATATTAATAATTTGAAGATTTTTTAAAATTTAATTATCATTATACATACCAGGAGTAGATAATACTAAATCAGGTCTTGTTAACGGTCCTGGTCGATTTTTGACAACACCAGATAAAAATTCTCTTTTAAACAATGGGTGAACAAGTGGTATACATATAAATTCAAATCTATACAAAAGTAATTAATTATATATACATATAAATATCATAAAAAAATATTATAATAAATATATTTTTACAAGTATACCTAGATGAAGTTGCTGTATGTAAACAACTATTCAAATCGGGTACAGAACACAAATCTAGTCCACATGAAATAGGTCTTTTGTTGTTCATTTTGTTATATTGTGCAATAAACGAACTTAGCCTTATTTCTTTTGCAATTGTTTTACTAGGAACGCGCGAAGCCGGTACGTTACTACGTTCATACACTTGCGATAAGTCGAGACGATTCGGAATAATTCGGAACTATTCGGAATGATTCGAAACAATTCGAAATACGTCGGAACATTTCGGAGTATATCGGAAGAGCGGAACTTTTAAAATAGTGCTTGCATTTTATGCACTTGTAAGGATTTGTTATTTATTTTCATAGTCGTAATTTTTGTCCGATTTTAGCAATCAAAGGCTTATTTGAAAGATAAAGGTTTTTCACATAAAATAATTATACAATACTTTCGAAGAAATTTTATTTTCTTTACAAAAATCGTGTCTAAAAATAGGTAATATTCTAGAATAATTTGTATGTAACTAAACACCTACTTTGATAATATTCTGTAATTAGCTCGTATGTATAAAACTTTTATCTTTCTCTCTCTCTCTCTAAAATCGGATAAAGAATACGACTTCTTAACAAGTAAGGATGAGTACAATCGCCAGGCATTTCTAGTTCATTTTTTTCCACGTCTATCTCTGAAGTCACATTGCATACGTTTGGATAGCTTAAGCATTTAAATTATTAAATGCCATCTGGAAATAGTAATAAATTTTGTTATCTTTATTAAAAACCTATATACATTAAACGTATGAATTATGCCAATGATATTTTACACAGTCACACATTTTCTTATAGTATAGTTTTCAATTTCATATTTATTACACGCTTATAATCAATCAATTTTTTGATTTCTTTTTTCTTTTTGGTATATTAAAATCATCTAGATTATCTGTAGGTAATCTTTTATGTTTAGAAATACCATTTGTTTCCACCACAGGTAAATCATTTTGTATGCTATCGGTCTCATTAATCTCATTTGGAAGATTTACGGAGCTACTGAATTGAAATGCATCTAAACCTTCGGACATTGTCTGTAGACGTAATTCACGTGATTCTTTTTTCAACAATTGCTTCTCTTTTTGTTTACTCTTATTTTTCTTTTTCTTCTTTAATTTTGCTTTGTTTATTTCTGTACTATTTTCCTCATCGTCAATCTCTATAACAGCTTCCTTTTTTTGTTCTTCTTGTTCTTTTTCATCTTTTTCCTTTACATTAGAAATCTGTCCATTAACTTTGGGACTTAAATCAGTTTCTTGTTTCTTCGCAGGACTGTAAATAATAAGGATGTATAAATACAATTAAAATAATAAATAAATGTGAATATATTGTAAATAATAATAATAATAATGTTTACCAATTAAGAGATAACCCAATTAGTTGTGCTAATCTATTGTATGCACTTCTTGCATCTTTAGAAAGTACAGCTTTAGTCCTGTATCTGATTAATTTTTCCTTGATAGTTTCCCATTTCCAAATTTCTTGTAAATGTTGTCCATGAATTGTGTGTAATAGAGTAAGGAACAGATATACAAATTTCTGATTAATTTTAATACTACAATTTTCATCTGAAGTTAATTGTTCATCTTTACATTCATTCACGTTACATAGATCTTGTAATAGATTTATACTGTTTTCACATAATTTCTTTTCCATTTTAATTCTATTCTTGTTCTTCGTAGACTCAGAACGAATTAATCTATTATTTTTATAGAAAATAATTAAAAATTCTAAGGCTTGGCCTCTACGAAATGATCTGATCGTGTTCAAATCAAATGCATATTCCACCTAATAAATAAAATATAAGTATTATCGATTGTACAATTATCTTCCATTTTACATCGTTTATTATCTTTTCATAACTTACTAATAATGGTATTAGCTGCCAATTTCCTTCCCACGATTGTTGTAACAGACTTTTGAAAAGAATACCTGGCAAAATGCAATCTCTTTTCTTGAAAAAAGCTGTTAAGTTAGTTTTATAAATGTCTACAAAAGTATCATCAAGCAATCCTACATATTGCACACAGCGTATTAGGAAAGCGCAACATTCAGCTAATTTGTCTCCCATTTCTTGACAAACAGAAGCAGAACGTTCTCCTTTTTCAATTAAAGTCTGAAAATAACAAATATTAATTACTTCTCGTCAAACAATATTTAATATCATATTTATAAATAAATAAGTACCTTCAAAATGATTGTTAATAATTCATTATCGACTCCCTCTGTATCTCTGAATTTTTTAATAGTCGATAATTTCTTTAAACAAGCTCGTACTCGATTCTCTAAAGGTTTTTGATGTGGATCCTTTATACAAAATTCTAATAAAGCAAAAAGTGGAACAAGCATATCTAATACAACAGCCATTGCTGGGTTGCAATCTAAATAAATTTCTAACAAATCTGTAACTCTAGCTCTAAAATGTGTTAACGTTTGTGCTGATTTTTCTTGTTTCTTCGATTGTCCACGACGATTTTGACGAAGAATTTTAAATGCTGCCGCTAATGACTCATCCAATCGTTTACCCTCAGCTTCGTCAATTTTATCTACGTCCATATCTTCGTCGTTATTATCAGGGTTAGTACCTCCTAATGCTTGACTCACAGCAACACGTAACATATCTGTAACAGTTTCATCTTCATCTTCGTCTTCTTTATCGCAATCCATGTCACTTTCTTCTGAGGAATCGGTTGTAACTTCTGCATTATGTTCCTCAACATTATTCTCATCGTTTTCGTCATCCTCGTCAGAACCTGAAGATTCTTCATTATCGTCACCGTTCATAGACAATGGATTGATCTCTTTTTTGATATCCAAGACCTAACAAATGAAATTAACGTATTAATATAAAAATTCAACCACGTAAACTAGTGTTAATATTTTTTATATTAAAATAATACTTACGGATAATATCTGAGACATCGAGACTATGTACGGGCAAATATGTGGAAAAACGCAAGTAACCAATGAACGCATCAAATGACTATTTTTAGATAAAAGAGATAACAAAAGATCTATCACAACTTCTACCCATTCTGGTTCATCTTTTAATTTTGTATTATTATTTAATTTAGATTTCTTTTTAACTCGATCGTAACAACTTTGCAATTCGTTGATAGACATAACTGCTACTTCCGGATCCGAGAAGAGTTGTAATCCCATGTGTAAACATATGGTATGAAATATGGGTATAGCTTTTGCATTGGGATTATTCTCTAATTTTTCTATCAAACGAATCGCTTTTTTCCATGCTGCTTCTGATTCCTCGCTCAATGGTACCCGTAATTTAATATTCTCAGAACTTAATTCTGTATTTAAATAATGAACTAATGCGCTTAACATATTTCGTAAATCATTCAATTTAGGCATCTTATGATCCAAAGCACGGTAAAAACTATCTTTGAAATGTGCTGTAAAAGCAAATAAATTTGTTTCTTTTATTTTAAGTAAATTAACAAAGATATTTATGTTATGTCATAATGAAAATTAATATTACTTACGAACAAGTTCTACACCAACTTGTGGAACTTCGCAGAAACCAAACAGAAACAAGAACTTTAATTGATTCAACTTCCATTCTTGATCTGATAGTATTGCTGGATGAGTTATTAATCTAAAATTATAAAAGAATAAAAAATATATTATTAGTAAAATAATTTTATCGTAAACAGAAATAGATTTATAAATTAACACAAATATGTTTCGTGTTACCTCGTTAGTAATTGAACAGCATAGATTCTTTCAGCATTTGTCCAGCTTTCTGTTTGTGAACATTCTCTTTCTTTAGGAATTGTATTCTCTATAATGCTTCTATAGAGATTTGATAACTTTTTAACTCCATCTGCATTTAAATCGCCTGTGATCAGTTGGATTATTTTGACACCTGTTTTTTTTTCTATCATTAGATCACCAGGATACAGGATCAGTTTTTTTAATACATTTATTTGTATTTTTGTTTTAGTATCTTTAACGCTTGTTATTAACAAATTTAATAAATCCTTAAATGCTACAACAACTTCATCGTTCTTATTTCTCTTTAAAATAGAACATTTTTTTAACATATGTTGCAAGAAATCTGTAGATAACAAGGATGGAAACACTGTTTTGTCATTTAAATGTACAAGTAAATGTTTTAAAATTTCAATAGCAACGTGCTCATGTGTTTTAGATGGCTTTTTAAATTTACTGTCTATGGCTAACCAGAAGTCGGTTACTAAATCAGTCGCTGCCAATTTTTCACAAAATAAAACGAATACTGGATGATGGCAAGATTTTATCCTGGGTAAATCCTAAATAATAATAATAATACACATTAATTATGAAATAAATCAAACAAACTATTTTCTTCAATTATATATGTGTATACTTACTGTTAATATATTCACTATATTGTTTATGTTTTCCTTCGTGATGATATCATTGGAAGATAAATATTTTTTTAAAAAATCTTGATTCATAAGCGCTGGAAATTTATCTCTGATAACCAACAAAGCGTAAAATAAATCTAAAGTTTGTTCTGCCCAAGGCTTGCCAAACTCTTTTTCCATTAATGGCCAAATAGATGTTTTGACAGAGTCTGTGTTAAGTTGATTTATAAATTCCATTAAAAATGAAATGGAAACGAAAGATAAATAGCTACGTTGATTCCCAGCATTTAGAAGTATTTCCACTACTTTTGATTGAGTATCAGTTGTACTATTCAAAAGTAATTTTGATCGTATCAATGCACCACAAGTTAATATACGACCCATATATATGTCAGCTTTTTCCTAAAATAAAAAAAAAAATATACTTTTGTTAAAATTAAATATTGTACATATTGAAATCTAGCATACTAAGAAAAATTAAAGAATGATAATTATATTATTTATTCTTATTTGCATTACACTTTTAGCATTGCTGTTTGTTGGTTGTAATTCTGTATCCATTTTAGTTAAAATTGTGTCTATTGAAACATCAGGATGTGTAATTAAAAAAGTTGTTAGCGTACTATAAAAACCCTTTCTGGCATATAATTTCGAGGATCCCAATCCACGTATTAATCTCGTAATAGCATATTTGAATTCTTTGTTGTCATTTACATCCTATAAAGTAATAAGTATTATTTATTAATTTCATTATAAAAAAAAAAAAGTTATACATTAACACATATGAGCTAATATTTTTAGGTTACTTACAGAAGGATGTTCGTGCAAATGTTTTAATAACGCAAGTCCACCATCACGTCTCACTGCATCCTGTTTATTTATAATTTTCGCAAAACTATCAAAAATTGTTGAATTCATTTTGTCTGTACTTTTTAATTTAATATCACGTGAAGCATCTTGAGCCATGTGCGTACTGTCGAGAACCATTTTGTTTCTTTACCATCAAATACTACGCTGATCAAGAAGTTTACCTAAAAAAAATTATTTTTAATATTAGTTAAAGAAATTAAATGTTTTATTAAAACAATGTAATATTTAATAAATGATTTATAATTTTTCTTCATTTATTATACATATATTAAGTTAATTTAATTAATCATAGATATTATTTCTTAAATTTGCATATAGCAATACGCAATGATCTATATACACATATTATATATGCATATATATTATACTATCGCTACGATATTAATTCATAACATAAACATTAATTAAATAGTAACTAAACAAAATAATATCGACAAAAACTATTCATTTATCCGAACTAATCTAACAATGAAATTAATTGTCTTCTACCGTATCTGATTTTAACGATTTCGATTTTTTTATCTTTCTTTTATTTTTTTTTTATTATTCTCTAGATATTACTAAATAATTTACTAGAAAAATTTTTCATGAATTATTGACATTTAATGTATATTATTCTGAATGAATATTAAAAAAAGTGTTATAGTAGACAGTACTTATTGTATCCGTAATGCATCTAAACAGTTAGAACAGTGCCATCTTTAGCACAGTGACTAGCTCGACCCGCGCAGTTGCGAGCAGTTCCTTGCATCCAATATGGCAGGTCGAGGTGGTTACGTTGATCCGAGGCAAGTATCGGTGAAAATTTTGTTTGTATACATCAACCATTGAACTTATTTTAAATAGTGTTGTTATAAAGTTTCATTGATTAATAGTTTCTACGATGAGTATAATTATTTCTTCGAATATCCACACGACTTTAAGGTTAAGTGAATTCATATTAGAGTGCAGCACAGCATCTCGCGGACATAGTGCCTCAGAACACGCGGCTTTATTTTGGCCGGTTCTATATCGGTGGATATAAAACGTGCCACTGTAAATGGACATCTCTAATTAATCTTGTTTCCTACAATAATATCATGGAATAATTTTAAACTCGCTTTACGTAGATATGTTTAAGTACTTGTGCTCTGATAACGCAGTGCCCAATTCAGTGTCAGAAACTATAAGATTATCGTACTAACAAACATTTACTTTTAGTGTTTTCATTATTACTCATCTAAGAATTGTAGTATCACAAGTAACATTGTTTTTCATTTTCATTTATAACTAATTTATAATAATTTATTTCTAATTTCACAATAATATTATGATGCAAGAATTATATATAATAAATATTAGATAAACTATACTAGGAATAATTATGATTATCTATTTGCAATATCTAATTTAATTATTAAAATTCGTTATTTTATAATCAGTTTCAATATAATAAGACATTATTATTGTTTATTTTTTATCGAATAATTAAAATCTTTCTTTTCTTTTTGTTCTATAGAGATTATGGTGTCAATTATAGAAGTAGAAAACCATTGCCTACTGAACCACCATATACTGCTTTCGTAGGAAATTTGCCCAATGGAATTGTTCAAGGAGATGTCGATAAAATATTTAAACAGCTTAACGTTAAAGGGGTCAGATTGGTGAAGGACAGAGAAACTGATAGGTTTGTATCTTAAATATCTACTTTATGTGATTAATCATTTAAAATTATTCATAAATATCATTTGCAGATTTAAGGGATTTTGTTATGTCGAGTTTGAAGATTTGTCTGATTTGGAAGCAGCCTTGGACTTGGATGGATCTGTAGATGTAGAAGGAAGTATAATCAAAATTGATGTAGCCGAGGGTAAAAGAAATGATCGAGGAGGTGGCTTCGACAGAAGAGGAAGAGGAGGACATAATAGCAACAGTGGCTTCAGAGGCCGAGAAGGTGGCCATAGTAGATTTAGCGGAGATGATTTTGGTAGCAAATCTATCTATACGAGTAAGCGTTGTGCCAAGCATAACGTGTGCAATGATTTTTTTGTGTTTTTTATCGTAAATGTAGATTTTGTCATTTGGTAATATCTTTCTTTTTCCAAAAGATTAAGAAAAAAGCTTTGATTTTTCTAACCAATTTAAATACTAACTTGTCGATTGTCCATAAATATCATAGCACTTAACTCGTATAATTGTGTAACTACTTCGTTTTTAATTGAAAACAAATCATTAATAACATTTGCATACTTATCTATTGTCAAGGTTTACTCAGTATGTTTACGTTTGATTATTCAATCTAACTAGTAGATAGACTGGCTAATAATCTGTAGTATATGTTATCGAAATTCTAAAAATAAGCTTTAATATTCCAGTGAACGAAAGGAAAATATTACATGCTTTTTTATTCATATCTTTGGATTTGTTTCAATATTATTAATACTCTAATAATTATTTGTAGGATATAATGACAGAGGACCAGGTGGTGGCGGTGGAGGTAGGCAAGGAAGTGGGTGGGATTCGAGAAATAACAGAGGCAATTATGGTCAGTTTAATGATGACTCTAGTGGAGGTAGCAGGGAATGGTCACGTACAGCATCAAGATCGTACAGTGGTAGACCAATGTCACGTGGAATGGGATCTGATTATAAACCATTTAATGATGAATCAGATCTTAAGGACCCATCCGCAGGTATTTTATTTCATTTCAATATAACAATTCTTGCATGATACATTGTTTCTTTTTCTTTTATTAATATCAACGTTCCAATGTATAGGTACAAGCCGTAGAAAACGTTTGGTGCTGGCACCAAGATCAATTCCAGATCCTGTAAATGCTATTGCTGAATCGAGTAAATCAAGTTCAATTTATGGGGGTGCTAAGCCTCGGGAAGAAAAATTAAAAGCTAATGAAGTCGAGTAAAATATAAACTAATTAACATCTTAGTTTCCACTTTCTTAATTATGGAGGAAGAAATTTCCCAATAAAAAAACAATATTTCAAAAACCAATTTAAGATTCTCTAATAGTTTTCTAAAATGAAACAGAAATTTCTTTTTAAAACTAAAATAATATATGGAACCGTAATAATTTTTATTTATCCCCTTAATGGGAAGAGTCTTCCCCAAAAAACATTGTAATCACTGTAGGGAACAATTCAATAAGATTTCTTTAGTTTTCACAAGTTTAAATATTTCCTTTCTCTTTTTTTTTCTTTTTTGGAAAAAATCTATATATATATATAAACTTCTTCTTACTAACACCTTCTATATCTTATCTCTTTATATAATGTAAAATTAATATCAAATTATTAACCCTATTGGAATAATAATAATAATAATAATAATAATAACGAAATAAAAATAGCGTGTTAAATAAATGTGTGCAAATAATATTAATAATAATAATAATACAATGTGTATAATGTGCATGCAATAATAATAGTTAATATTTACAAACAAATTATTGTTAAATTTTTTAAAAGCGATATAGTATATATGTATTTCATTGTTCATATCACGTCATGTAAAACATTCTTATATATGTCGAGTATAATGATATCGAGGGTGTTGGGGTATAAATTATGTAAAAGTGTGCTTTAAATATGATCTAATAATACATATGGCTGCTGTTGCTGCTGCATCTATTCATAAATTTTCCCTATTGAAGTAAATCGTAGAACATATTTACTTTGCTATTTTTATTTATTCTTTTTCAGTCTCTTAAAACTTTGCACATTATCGCAATCCTAACTTGAATAATAATTTTATAAAGAAATCGTAATGAATTGTTTATTACGTGTCATTGCATAACAAATGTTCAAAAAATATTGCACGTTAGCTTGTAAAAAAAAGAAGACAAAAAAAATACAGAAAAGAAAAGAAAAGTAAAGAAGAAGGAAAGAAAGAAGAAGAAGAAGAAAAAGATAGGTCAATAGTTAGTAAAGATATAATGTGAATGCTTGGGAAATTTACATACATACCATTAAAGTGGTGGTACGTACCAAGGAGAACGTACCAAATTATTATATATTAAATATTATCTAATGAATAAATTAATTAATTAATCGCGCTAACAATAAACGTCGACGTGAATTTACAAGAATAAAACATCGACGACGATTATCAGATAGTAACGGATGAAAAAAAAGAAAAACAAATAAAAAAATAATATTAAAAAGATACAAAAAAAAATATAATAAATTTATGTAATGATTAATATTATGTAAACGTATGCTTGTATATGATAATATTTCTTGAATAAAGTAGCTGTTTGCCTCATACTCTTATAACGTATTGAAAGTAAGAAGAAGATTAATGAAAAAAATATATTGTGTAATTTTGTTTGATTTAATGTGAATGTCATTTAAGTGGGTTGTTCATATTTCTTGTAAACTATTCCCTAATTGCTATTTTAATGTGTTTTAAACTATCTAGGAATACTATGACTTCTTAAATAAAGCTATCTCTTTCTCTATTACTAAATATGTAAATANATATGTATACATATATATATTTATTATATGTATGTGTATCAATATTTAGGCTCAAAATACTAATTAACACTAATTCTTCTTCCCTCAATTCAATCCAATTATTCATATTTTAATTTTGTTCATTTCACACACACATACTTTTAAAAAATTAATATTTTTCTTTCGTTATCGAGAACTGAATTACTTAAGTTCAATTCTTATGATATAAATATATATACAATTCAGTGATTAAATATTCTTTTCTTTTTAAGTAACATAGACATTTAAAATAGTAAAATGAAACTATAAAGTAGGTAAACTTTTTCAAAGAAGTGACGTCACTTTACATATATCAATGCATTGATTATTTTATTTAAATAATTATATTAATACGAATTTGTTTTATACTTTTTAAATAATATATGTAATATTCTTTTTGTTTTTCTAGTAAAATATATATATAATTTTTTATTAGAAAATATATATTTATTAATTAATCGGTTGTACCGGAAATGAATGTGATTATATTTATGGCAGTTTCTTATGAAAAAATAAAGAAATTTTATATAATAAAATATTGACAAGTAATTTTTAAATGTATCAATGAAATGTTAATAAAATATTATTTATTGTCTGATTTAAAATCTATTAAAAATTATATTTACTTTTATTCGCTAGATGTTTAAGATTGCTATAAAGTTTCGTTTACATGTACATCATGTCGTCTAACCTATTGCAGCGTCTTATTCATTGTTGTTCATTATTTTATAATTATTTATAAACCAAATTGAGAGATAACTTTTCTACAAATTTTTCTTTCTTTGCAATAAATTTATTTAAAGTATAATTCAACAAAATGAATTATAATTATCTTAAAAAATAAGAGTGCATTTTTAATGCCGGCGAATATATAACCTTACAAACTGCACGTATTAGATTAAATTGTAAATATTTTGAAGTGTATGCTTATTTCTTTTAAATATGGCCAAGCATCATCCAGATTTAATCTTTTGTCGTAAACAACCGGGTGTTGGTAAGTTAAAACATTATTTCTTAAAGTATAATAATAATAGTAAAAAAATGCATTACGAAAATTATAATTAAACTATTTTTTTTAGCCATTGGTCGTCTCTGTGAAAAATGTGATGGTAAATGTGTTATTTGTGACTCCTATGTTAGACCTTGTACTTTAGTTAGAATATGCGATGAATGTAATTATGGATCATATCAAGGACGTTGTGTAATATGTGGAGGACCTGGCGTATCAGATGCATATTACTGTAAAGAGTGCACTATTCAAGAAAAAGATGTGAGTATACCTATTTAGTAATAATCATATAAATTAATATCAAATAGTATTAACAAATATGTCTTACAATTAATTGTATAAATTGTTTTCAGAGAGACGGTTGTCCTAAAATAGTTAATTTAGGCAGTTCCAAGACGGATCTCTTCTATGAAAGGAAAAAATATGGATTTAAAAGAAGATAATTTTGTTTTATTATAAGTCGTCAGCAATATTATTAAGAAATAAATTTTTTTTTAATATATATTATGATGTAATAATTTTCCCAATGATTTATATTAAACAATAGGACATGATAATATTTAAATCACTAATAAATGTGTGAAATTTCACATTGCATAATAAGATAAAACTTAAAAGTTAAGATAAAGATGTATTGCATATTATTGAATATATATATATATTGTATATATATATATATATATATATATATATACATAAGATAATTTCTATAAATAGACATGCCTTTTTAAGTATATCATTCGTTATTAAATTATTCCCTGATTGCTTGTAATATATTCCTTATTTCAATCACATTCAGAAATATTCTATGCCAATCTTACTAACAAATATATTTTCTACTTTGCCATAACTTCATTCGATATACAAGCATGTAATAACATTTCTTTATTATTTTCTATAACAACTTTTTACAATATATAGATTGTAAAAATAGATCCAATCTTTTGGCTTCATTCTTATTATTTTATTATCTTTTATCTTTTTGTTTAATGTTAATATGTTTCTACATTGCAGCATTCATCAAAACTATAGCCATTTAATGGATGTAAAAACATATGTAGGCATTTTTTGTAGACGGAACAATATTTTACAAAATATTTTCGTTGTTTATAAAATAATATATTCTTTTCGAATATATTTATTTATATATAGGAAAGCAAAATAGTAAAAAGCTATTATTTATTGTACATAAAAAGCAGCAGCAATGTAGTTATCATCTGTTACGTATTCTAACCTACCATTTTCTTATAAAGAATATATATTATTTAATATAAAAGTAGCTTTTTTTTTTTATTTTATATCACATGAGAAGTACAAGTTTAACTTTAAGACCGGCCATTCTTAATCAATTAATATTTCATTTATTAAACACATTAAGATATCGAAAGAAAGCATTGGTGTTCTTGACGATAGACTTGTATTTCTCTGCGACTGTTAACTTTGTTATTTGAACTAACATGATGGATAGATATATTTCCTGAATTATTGATATATAATCAAATAATTTATCAATAAAATAAAATCTATTAAACAATGAAATATTCCATAACCTTATTTAAAAAGAAAAATGCATTAATCTTAATTGTAAATATTTAAAATAGATGGATTTTGTCAGATTCATCAGTGGAATTATTTGATAAAGTTTATTTAATGTAAATTATATGATAATGTCATAGGAATGTTTAGTTTAATTTGGACTTTGAATTGTTATAAGGTTCTGTATATATTTCTCTCTACTAACGAAAGAATAATAAAACTACATTTGTTCTATACTAAAATACGATTAAGTTTCTTTATCATAATTTTTATATACCTATCACCTATCACCTATCCTTTTATATCGTGTATATACACATTATTGATTTTTTATACAAAATTTTCTTTTCATCTACATCTTAATCTATATTTTTTTTTATCAAATCCCAGTTGTAATATATGTTCAATTGTATATAGCAAATTCGTTACACATATAAACTACTTTTGTAATAATTATTACTTCTATTACAATTATATATAAACAGCAAAAACGCTGTACTTAAGCATCTATACCTTTAGTAAATAATAAGCATTTACTGGAAGTATAATTATTTATATAGGTATATAACATGTTAATGTTTTTAATAATATATATATATTCATTATGTTTTAAACTGCATTAACACGATATAATTAACATTATATCTATAAATTTTTTTTTAATAAAAAATATACTTTATACTAGTTCAAAAGAAGCAAAATATATATATGCTATCAAAATAAAATTTAAAGTTATACAATTTTGCAAAACTACGTAAAATTCATTGACACGCGTAAGGGAACTGTTTAATATAAAAACCGAATTTTATATCAATTTATTATTAAATAATTACGATACTGATATACGCGTCTAAATTAAAAGTATTTATTTTTCGTAAAATCGCGTAACACAAAAAAAATATAACTTCCTTTCGATATAAATTTTTTCAAACTTTATATGTATTAACGAAATGCCATTATTTAATGTATATGATTTAGAATAATTGGGATAAATGTATACATAATTAACAAAATATTATGTAATAATAAAATAAATATGAATGACGAAATTGTTCCTGTTATTCGGTGATTTTGTTTGTATATAATAAAAACTCTATTAAAACAAAACAAAAAAAGTAAAATTAATTAAATTGAATAATTTGACTTCTAGATTTATAAACAAATGCGTAGAAGCGAGAGATTCTGAATCTTTTTGAAAAATAAAATCATTACAGGTACTGTGATTTATATATATAGAGAGAGTTTATGTAATTACTGTATATTCAAATCCTATTAAAAAATTATTGTATGAAATATTAAAAATCTTTATCTTCATCTTATTAAAATAAATCATTCATCTTTCATTTAAGTCAGAATATTCATGATTAATAATGTTAAGTGTCAACGAATAAAAAGTGTAAATTATTTAGTCAATGTGATGCAATTGCATAATTACTTTCTACTAATATCTGCTTAGGCTTCCACCATTCTCTTTACATCGTATTCTTGTTTTACCTTGTTAATTAATTTATGGTTTCTTGTACTTCTTTCCTCCTAGACGTCAATAAAAATATAGTATTTATGTTACCAGTAACAGCTGGTTCTCATTTTGTATCAATTATTGCATCTTCTATAGATGGAATAAGAGAAATAATTATAAATGCATACCTGCATTAATATACCAATAATTTTATTATTAAATATACCGTCGTAATTAACATACCTGGCAGTGATTGCTTCTCATCTAGATAAAGATGAACTTGCTACAGATCGTCCACTCACTGCAGATTGCAAACTCAACATGGATCCCCTTCATCAAACACGAATGATAATGATTAATTTTTAACCAATTTTCCGTACTCTTTTATTGCATATAAATACCGTGTAAATATACCTGTAATGTACCGACGGCAAAGTTTCATAAAAGTACATAAGTTGTGCCTTGTGAGAGCTTATCGATGGGAGAAATTCTCCTTGTTCTTCTTGATTCTGCCATTGTAAAACATAAGTTCCTGCAACCTGCATTATATGTGTGCCCTAACAAACAAACGTTTTATATTATTTTTCTTCTCAATAAATTAAATATATTATAAACCATAAAAGAACAAATTTAAATACCTGAATGCTTTCTCCATCGTGGCATACAACACTCGGTTCTACTTTTATAAAACCTTCTTTTGATTCTTTTGAAATAGTTATTTCATGATCGCTAGATGGTGTAAATTCTGAAGTTTCTGTAATCAAATTTGTTAACAATTATATTACAATCATTACATCATTAATATTATTTATATATATTATAATAATATTTTTTACCTGTAGAGGGATCAATGTTATAATCTTTTGGTTTATGCAATACAGTAAATATTACATTGTGTCGCATAACATCAAAGTCCCAAGTAAGAACAGCACCTGGGTCATCACATTGGATTGTAACTTGATGGCTTTGCCCACGACTCAAACTGATAGAATGATACAAGCTATGCTCATGTTCGCAAGCTGTACTCTCCAGGTCAACTTTATATAAATGTTTTGGCACTACTCCGCCTTCCATTATATAGGTCTGTCATTTTGTGAACAGATGATAAATAAATCATTAATTTAATTTAATCTAATATCATTATTACACGTTTGATAAATTTGCAAAATATTTCCTTGCACTACAGCTAATAATATAAGTCGATAAAAAAATGTCTTTAATCGAAAATTCTTTACATGTATGATGTAATGTACGGTTTTTACTGATTAAATTTTTTTTTTTTTTTTTTAATAGATTTTAATTAATACTATTTATGTCATATATACGAATCTATGATGAAGTAGATTACTGAAACTAAACACAGTGCACCTTTAAAAGTACATGGAGTGTGGTACATCACAATTTAGATTACTGTTATACATTTTGCATTGATTCGAACAGTGTAATATTTACAACAAATAGAACATAAATTTCATATATAATCTTACACTGTCTGTAAGATTGCTGGCTGCAGCGTCGAAAACATAATATCTTCGAGGTACCGTGAATACTTCGTATATATTTTCCTAGCGGTTAATAGATTAACTATTATATATATATATTTATTACAATATTTAAATAAATCTCTATGTTTCAAAACTATTTAATTATTGTTTTAGCTAATTTCTTCCTATATGCAATAATTTCACGAGCTTGTTAAAATAAAATTTTTCTTATTTTTTTTTTTATAAAACCTCTAAATTATATAAAACTGTAAAAATAATATGAAATATGAAATAACAGTAATATTACCTCAGACGAACCACCTAGAAAGTCAGGAATAAATTCTGGATCTATATAATCGCTAAGACCACCTTCTCCTTGTTCTTGATAATCCGTACCGCAGTAAAATATGAATTTTTTTCTTGTATTTTCATCTACGATAAAAATTAATTAAAATTATGACAATTATTAATGAATTAATAAACAGTATGATACAAAATTGATGAATCCTTACGAATGAATGTGCTAATGAGAGTCCATAATATAGGAAAACATCTGGGTGCTCGTATAATAAGTACACGCCCCATTGTTTCAGGATAATTAGCTTCTACTATTTCAATAATTCTCAATAGTGCCTAAAAAACATTTGTTATTATTATTATAATTTAATGTTAATTCGTAAAGGAATATATTTTAATTATATACGTAAATATTTTCAAAATTATTAATACCTTTATACCAGGTCTCCAAAGATGACGCATATTTAAACCTTCTAAATCAATTAACAAAGACCATTGCGAAACTGGATGACCCCAAACGGTAGTTGCTTCATCCATTAAAAGAAGTCCTTCTTCGCAGATATGCAATGCCTGCAATTATAATAATAATAAGTATCTTTATATATATTGTAATTCTAATTGAAAATATAATTTAACATAATGTACCAATAATAATAATTCATCTTCTCCAGTTGATTTAAGGAGACCTTTCACGTCCACTTGACCTAATCTTAAAATGTATAGTGGTCGTCCATCTATAAAATAAAATACAAATAATTAAGTATTTATCTTATTACTTAATGAATAATTTGAACATAATA